GTCATGGTTTCCACTTCCTTCTCTTGTGCTGGTTTCCACTTCCTTCCCTTGTGCTGGTTTCCACTGCCTTGCCTTGTGATGGTTTCCACTTCCTTCTCTTGTGCTGGTTTCCACTTCCTTCTCTTGTGCTGGTTTCCACTGCCTTGCCTTGTGCTCTTTGCATTGCTAACAGCAGAGCTATCTCCTTACTTTTTGACTCCTGTGTGCGAAGCACACAATGGAAGTTATTGCAGTTAGTGTTTCTGTGTGTGTGTCTGCTTCACTGAACCAATTATCAGATTTTAATGAAACTTGGTACATTGATGCTCAGAGATACAGTACAGTTCTCACGAAAGCTTTGGCTTCACTTCAGCTTCACCTTTGCTTCAGCATCGCATCATTATGGCATTGTTATGGCTTCAGCTTCGCATCAATGTCGCGACATTAAAAAGTTAGGCGGTTATTGCTTCGCTTCATTGTGGCGACAATGTGGCATCAGCATCGCTTCATCAAACAAAGAAGTACAGAACCAACCTCTTCGCTTTTCAATCGCTCGCTTTTTCAACTGTGCAAAAATTCGGACTACTAATAATTTTCTGGTTTTCATAGATCACGGTTACTAGTTTAGTAATCGTGCATAGATGTTGAACAACCGTCAAAAGTTCAAATACTTTTTGTTTTAACTATCTATAATTATATGCACACAATCTGACCCTTTGACCTAGATTTGGCTGGGATTGACTATTTTATTTTAAACAATATTCTGACGTGACACACTGCTACAAAATGTATTTCAACAGAAGTACGACATGGTTGTCTGGGTTTCTTTTCCTGACTGTGTTGAGTTTATGATTTGTATAATTATTGTTATTTCCCCCAAGGAGAAGACAAGCCGAAGGATCATGAAGCTAAATAGAGTGAAAGAAAATAAAATAAAACCTAATATCTCTTTGTGTATTTGTCAATTTTGCATATATTTGGTATGACAGTATGTTCGTAAATATCTGGAAAAATCTCGTTTTCAAATTTCATTTGTTTGAAATGTCTACCGACCGTGTCCCGGTAATTTGTTTGGAATATCGATCCCCGTTGGTTTCTCCAAACGGTCCCGACGTTCGTCATTCAACACAATCAGCATTTATTTATCATAATTCATGGGGATCATGTCCTGTAATTTCCTGTAAAACCAAATAATTAAACAAGTACTATTTATTATATATATTTTTTTTACCTCGCGAAACTACAACACGGCATAGAGTTGTCCCAGTGAAACAGTCGCCTTGAAACTTCAATTATCCATTTCTCACCTTGAAATTAAATTTTAAAAAATCGAAGAGCATCGGGGGATATATTATTAACCAGTCTTACCAATCGCTAGCTTTATTTTATTCAAATCCATAAAATGAGTTTTTTAACATTTGTTGGCAACTTCTGCGCTAAAAATGGTTGAAAGTGTGGGTGTGGTTCTCTCGCAGGAATTAGGAACATACCCATGTACATGCTCAGGGATAAGCCATATACAAGTTCAGTTTAGGGTTAGATTTTGTGCTTACTAATTAATGTGCATAAATTAACCAATTTATAGGTACTCAACAGATAACTTGAGTTAAAAAATGAAATTACAGAATTTCTCCTAAAACAATATAACAATGATTCAGAAACAGCTTCTTCAGATTTTGAAAAAATCATATTATCTCTCACAGACCAAAATGTTAAAAAAATCACTCCAAAGTGTTTTAAAAAGAAAAACAAAACAATACTAAAAAAGAAAAAATGGTTTGATAATGATTGCTGGTTGCTTCGCGTAGAATTAAAAAATATTTCAAAATTACTGCAGAAACATCCACTAGACCCGATTATTCGTGGTAGATACTTCAAAACAAAAAAGCAATTCAAAAATTTAGTCAGGAAAAAGAAACATGCCCTAAAACAGTTAAAACTGAATGAGCTTGAAAAATCAAAAAGTGATACATCTAAATTTTGGAAAATACTGAATGATTTAAACAATGACAGTATAACACATTCAGATAATGAACGTATTTCACCTGGGGACTGGTTAATTTACTTTAAAAAACTGTTAAATAAAAACAACACTGTTCACTCTAATATGAAAAGACATCTAGTAACTTTAGAGAAAAGTGTGGACGCAGTCAATACAGAATCTTTGAATGGTCCTATTCAAAAAAATGAAATTAAAAAAGCAATTAGCCAATTAAAAAATAATAAGTCATCAGCAGAAGACAAAATCAGTAATGAGGTTTTTAAATGTGGTGGTTATTACCTGTCAGACGCACTACAAAAACTTTTTAACATAGTGTTCATGTCTGGC